GTTGTTACGTTTAAGTCTGAATCGTGACCTGTTGAAATAAAGTACTTCGCGTCTTTTTCGCAGAGGTAACTTCAGTTGCTTATGAAGAGGTCTGCCATACATACTTACAAACATAATATGAATAATCTTAAAGCAGCTTTATCCTTGTACTCTAACTCCTCCAATTCTCTATCTTGGCCAGCCATAAGCGAGCATTGGCTTTGACCTCTTGCGTGACAGCCGTTCAACGGATCGCATTACATTTTTTGTCCTTTTTAGTCCGAACTCTTTTAAAGCTAGACGCGCCACATATGGCGGGCATATGGCGGACCAAGAAAGAAACTTTGAGGATAAAGCTTAAAGAAAATAACTATTTCAATTTGTAAATATATCGTACTGGACCTTTTTAAAGGCCTTTGACTGAGTCGTGACAGCTGTTCAGCGGTTCGCATTGAAGATTTGACAAAACAGCCCAAACTCTTTTAATCCTGGACGCGATTGAAAATTGAAAAGGTTAGAATTTTCTCGAAATTATGATCGTGCAATTAGCATATTGTCCCAGATGGAGTTAAACAGCGCGCAGCCAAGCTTTACAACAGTATACCCCTAGGTCAAATGCAAACGAATCATGAACATCGGTGGTGGAGAGGGTCAATTCTTGTCTCAAATTCTCAAAGTTCCAGGCTGTGAACATATTAAAGGAGTATTACTTGACTTTCCCGATGTAGTCGAGCGAGCCAAATTGATCCTAACCAGAGAAAATATAGCAGACAACAGAGTGACTTTACTCAAAGGAGACATCTTGGATGGCATTCCGAAGTGAGAAGAGGTAGATACATCATTGTCAAAAATTTCCTCGTAATTTTTACAGAAGACGGGATGGTAAAAGTTTTGGAAAACTGTCGTCAAGTTCTTGCTACACATGGCAGATTTCTTATCGTTAACAGTGCAACCCTGAAGCAAGCTTTCAATAATTTACCATCAAACCTGAAAGAACTTGAATCCCTATTAATGTTTAAAACGAAGCTTAAGGATTTTCTATGTAATTAACTTTTAACTTTACTTTTGATACTTCTTTATGTATATACTTTCCTATAGTTTTTATCTTATTATATATATTGTGATAGTTTTAAGGGCTTTTATTATTATTTTGCTATTTTTTGTTTCCCAGGGCTTCTATTGATAACAGCTTCAGCTGACGGGTTTACCCTGGTTAAATATGTATTATGTAATAATAAATATTATTATTATTATTATTATTATTATTATTAGAGATACGGAGCATAATGTTACCAAAACTGGTTTACAGCTGGGTTTTCGTGACATACACATCATGACGATGAGTAAGATGGGATATTTTAGAACGAAGAGTGAGTAACTGAACTTGATTGACAGGTTGTGCAATAAAGTGGCTTTTCAACTAAACGCAGTCTATGAGACTGGAGATGGGCCTACATTAGTAATAATAGTAATAAGTTTATTGAACACCCTAATTAACAATTGGTTCATGCTTTAGCGTGCACTATCGAGTTATGGAGCACGCGGGAAGTTTGGAGAGCACGAAAGAAGCGTAAGAGTTGCCCGAGGCGATAGCCGAGGGCAACTCTAGCTTCTTGAGTGCTCTCCAAACTTCCCACGTGCTCCATAACTCGATAGTGCACAGCTGAAAGCATGAACCAATTGTTTTAGAACATAGCCGGTGGAATTGTGCATCAAATCCGACGCGAAAAACGGACAACAATATCAGTTGAAGCGAATCGTGACGGCGCTGATGCCGAGTCTCCTTTTCCTTTGTTTTTCTCTTTTTCTGCCTCATTTAAGAACTCTAGCCCATGGGAAAAGGTCGAAACATTGTCTTCGTTTTCGGACTAGCAGGCCGAGTTTCTGTTTGTATCCATTATTGTCGCGAAATGTATTATTTTTCCCCGCACTAGCAATGGCCGCTCGCGCGAAAAAAAAATTTCTGGCGAAGTCGGATTTGCTGACGCTATCAGCGTGCACTATCGGGATTTTGAGCACGCTTACGTATAATAAATTTGATTGCGCGACTCTGCTAGCTATGTTCTAATTAACAATTGGTTCATGCTTTAGCGTGCACTATCGAGTTATGGAGCACGCGGGAAGTTTGGAGAGCACGAAAGAAGCGTAAGAGTTGCCCGAGGCGATAGCCGAGGGCAACTCTAGCTTCTTGAGTGCTCTCCAAACTTCCCACGTGCTCCATAACTCGATAGTGCACAGCTGAAAGCATGAACCAATTGTTTTAGAACATAGCCGGTGGAATTGTGCATCAAATGCGACGCGAAAAACGGACAACAATATCAGTTGAAGCGAATCGTGACGGCGCTGATGCCGAGTCTCCTTTTCCTTTGTTTTTCTCTTTTTCTGCCTCATTTAAGAACTCTAGCCCATGGGAAAAGGTCGAAACATTGTCTTCGTTTTCGGACTAGCAGGCCGAGTTTCTGTTTGTATCCATTATTGTCGCGAAATGTATTATTTTTCCCCGCACTAGCAATGGCCGCTCGCGCGAAAAAAAAATTTCTGGCGAAGTCGGATTTGCTGACGCTATCAGCGTGCACTATCGGGATTTTGAGCACGCTTACGTATAATGAATTTGATTGCGCGACTCTGCTAGCTGTGTTCTAAAAGGGTTTTGCAGTGAACAGTACAATACAATAAGAATAAAAGATATACATGTATAGTAAAAAATGTAAAACTATATGTAAAACTATTTTGTTGTAAGAAACTCATTCAACATCCTTGATTTTAAAGTCTTCTTAAAGTTAGTGAGGTCTTTACACAGTTTCAAATCACTGTCTAATGAGTTCCATAATTTTACCACAAAGGCATCCTATAGTGAAACGATCTCTGACTAGCAGCGGTTTTAAATAAAGGAATATTAAGTTGTTGGGAGTTTCTCGTTACTCGGTTAGATATCTGCCTTCTTGTGGCAAACTGTGACATCAGGTAGGTCGGGGCACGGTCTGTCATGCACCTGAATGCGAGAATAGCATCTCGGAAGTAAACCTGCTTTTTTACGGGTGCCACTTCAATTTCGTAAGTGATGGAGTTATGTGCTTGAATTTCTTTACACCACTAAACTATCCGAGCTGCGAAGTTCTGAACAATTTGTAGTTTTTACATATTGCTAGCAGAGGTGTCAGACCAGACTGAAGAGCAATTGTATAATTTGCTGAAAAAAGTGCATTTATAAAGATCACTAATAGGTTGGAGTTAACACTGTTACATTGTTTGAACTGTTAAAATGCGCATAGATGATTGTTTTTGTTTCTTAATTTTGGCAGCACTAGAGTTAATGTTTTAAGATTTGTCGTTTATTCTGCGGTTCTGTGTGTTTCATCATAAACTGAAAGAATGGTGTGAAGCCGTCATAAATAAGAAGAGAATGAAAATAGAACTTAACGATGATTTTTATTAGCTTTGAAAAAAGATTTTCAAGATTTCCCTAAATACTATTAGGTTGGTAAGAAATCTGCTTTCTCTCCGAAGGAAAGCAGAAGGACATTCTCCCATTCCAGCTGGGGTTACAGCTCTGTAATAATTTTCCACAACATGTTTATTTTCCAAGTATTATATGCCCCTATACGGTTAAAATACATTCATATTAGAAATCGATCAAAAGTATTTTCAAATATTTTTTACTAACCGCAGCCAAATTTTATATCATGACAAGGCTTTGGTCAGTTTTTACGAGTAAAAAAAAAATGCTGGTTTGTAACCGGGTTTTTTAACCAGACAATAGGACTTTCCACGAATGTTTTATTTTCGGATGATTTTGTACCTCTTACCACTGACATGTACGAGTGAAAAAGGTGCTTGGTATGAGTATTAGCAGTTTTTATTAGTTCGAAGGAGTTTTAAAATAAAAAGTTAGGTATTGATGTCATATTTGTCTCCAAGAAAAAAAATTAAGTTAACGGGTTGGTGTTGGTAATCGTCACGGTTTGCGATATTCTGTACTGGTTTTTTCAGTTTCGACCTTTGATTTCCACATTTAGTGGGATTCCTCTAGAAATGAAAACATGGACCTGGTCCAGGTTTTGCAGAAGAATGGCTTTCCATCTGAATGCAGTCCATGAGACTGCACATTGCTCTACATTGTTGGAGCTGTTAAAATGCAATTAGACCACTGTCTCTCTTTTTTTCTTTTGTATTGTATTGTTCCTTTATTTCGCAAAAACAGTTCAAGAAAAAAATGTTTATCTTGCTTCAATTTGTTGTCCTTCAACACAAGCCGAGAATAATAAGCACGATTTAGAAGCGCAATTAGTCATCCTAGATTAAAAGAGGTCACTTGCAAGAAGGATATGAAAGTAAAGTTTGAGGGTAATGTATATCAGTTTACACACGCAAATTGGATCCTTAACCGTTAAAGGAAACAACATGAAATGAGGAAAGCATTGCTCCATTACGATTTGATATCATATCCCTGCTCTCATGGATGAATAAAAGAATTGAACACACATTTGCTGTTTCCGCATACGGTTGCAAATGAGTAAGCGAAACGGGAAGTTGAGTATAAGATGTTCATAATCTTGAGCCCTTGCTAAATGCTGGCACAAATCCACTATAGAAAATTCATAATCAGGCGAAGCACGTGCGATACGTGATGTGCAGACTAAAGCATTTAAGCGGATAACCTTCAAGGTCCTGCAAAGCCCTTTTAGGCCTCGGTCCTCTCCTGCAGGCGCCTGTTCCTTCCGCTTCTCAGAAATTAAACACGTCGCTTTCTCTAACTTCCGCTGATCAAAATAGAGATTCTCAGGGGAAGCACTGAGGCGTGCTGATACTCTTTTTTCCTTACTTATACCTTTGATAAGAAATTACTTTTCTCAAACTTATGCGCGGAAAGAGGTATGGAGAAATTGTTTGTTTCTTCAATCGACGTTAGAATGAATATAAAGGTAATGCGAAACGTTTGCCAGAAACACAAAGAGTTCGTGAAGCGCACGAGCTTGCATTGAATGCTACTCCTTCCGAGTTGTCTATCGTTTATCCCCAAAATGAAGGTGTTTCCAGGATCTCCCATGTTGGTGGTGCTTTTGGTTGTATATGAAATTGCCTCTATGGTTGAAGGTAAGAGGAACTACTCTCAAAATTACTAGACTCTCCAATCATTTCCTGGCATGATGAGTGATCGAAGGATTTGATCAAAACTGAAGAGTGGAATGGAGAGCAATACGAGCGCTAAAAATTAGATGGGATACCTTTGCATTCGCGAAGAGTTTTTCACTAAGTTCACTTTAAATTCTCTTGCTTCATTTATTCTTTAGGACAAACTCTGGTCCAAAATGGAAAGATTAACTTCACTGCGTCATATCCTGACTTGCATTATTGCACGAACGTGCAGTTCCCTCGTGCATTCTCCAGCTCGAGAAATGTACGGGTGATAACTTCCATTAGCTATGAGTCCAACACTCGCAGTGTACACAATTCGGCTGTTGTGTGGACGTCAGACGTGACACAGAGCAGTTTTCGCGTATGTGTATTGGAGTCGGGACCCAGAACAAATGGATCCGCCGTCGTGAACTGGATTGCATTTCGAAGCGCTCCCTCTGGAATGTTGGACGGCACCGCTTCCTTAAGTGCATTTACCAGTGGAACAAAATGTGAAAGGGTTACCTTTGCTCAGGTATGCATATGACCTATGGCGATTTTTCAGCATAAATTCCAATAATTTTTCCTGTAGCGTGCATTCAACCGCTTGAAGCTTTCTTTCTCGTTTTTAGTAACTATACCACTGTCGTCGTTCAAAGGCGTTAAAAAGAAAGTTTCCCAGAAAAGTATATTATTTCTTAAAGCAAAGAAGGGATTCGCAGAAAATATGCGAAATATAAGTGTATAAATTGTTATAACGAGGAGGGGCGTAACCTGGTTTTTTAAATAAGTGGTCTGGTATCTGTTAACGTGTCTTCATTCTAACTGCGGAACTGTTTTGTAAATCCGTTTCATTTAATTGCGTACGTTTGCTTTCTTAGTACTCAAAGATTTAGGACGAGTTTACTCTTACCTTAATAGACCGACAGTTCGTAAGGTCAAGTCTGAACGTGATCTGTATCATGCAAGTCCCAGTTCAAGACAACTACTTCCTCTTTATCCTTTTTGCAGCGATTTGCGTCAATCCCAAAGGTACTGACTACAGTGCGTCACACTGTCAGCAACAAGCCACAGGACGCTATGAATGTCTGGATTGAAGAACTCAAGGCGGATTATTTCAGAGTGTGCCTCAGGGAAGTGAAAACATTTGATGGAAAGCATCAGAATTTAAAAGTGGCAAGTTTGACTTAACAGGTTTACTTTATAAAAACATATGTGGAAATATTTCATGCTTTTTTCATTGCTGGTTTTCGCAAATGCTGAAGTAACAGGATTTAGGAAGTTTTAGATATTGAGATAGGTGTATCAATGCTTTAGGATATAATTTATGTTAATCTAAATGCTTTTAACTTTTGACGGATTATTTTCTGCAGAATTGTTTCAAAAATACCATTTAACTCTTAGGACTGGCTGGCATTTACACGTCGAGGTGTTCAATTTAAATTTCAAGGAAAATTGTTCTTTGAAAATGGCGGAGCTCCTCGCGAAAAAGACAATTACGCCTTTTGCAAGGTAAGTCGAAGGATCAATTTCCTGTAGAGTAACCCAAGAACACCTTTATTTAAGTGACCCAGAGAGAATAATTTAAGCCAAATGATACTAATTTGTGTTTAATATTCGCTCTGTTCTGTAATACTCATTTCTATCGATGTTAACTTTTTCTTTACAGATACACAATTTTACCAAAGAGTTTTATGCACCCCCTGTAGTCATAGTATCAGTAAATCATCTTTACGACAGCAAGAATGTATATTCTATAAAACCGGAGAACAATGTTCTTAATACTTGGATTGAGGTAAAGTGCTATAACTTATACCCCTATGAATATAACTTCTTTTTAGATCATTAACGAGATTTTTATCACCATAGAAATCTTTGAGGTTCAGAATTTTAACCCAGGTCGCACCTGAGATACAAGTCTTAACACATGTCATATTTAAATGCTCAAAAATCACAATATGTCAAGAGCCTTCCAATGTCACCTCGTTGAAACAAAGAATCTTTTATTCCTGGTGAAGAGGTGGGGAACAGGGATGGCGCAGTCGCGTAGCATCCCACCGCTGTGGCCCGGGTTCGATTCCCGGACCTGGCATCTCATGTGGGTTGAGTTTGTTGTTGGTTCTCGTTTTTTGCTCCGAGGGTTTTTCTCCGGTTCCTCCGGTTTTCCTCACTCCGCAAAAACCAACATTCCAAATTCCAATTCGATCAAGAAACAGTGAACAAGAGGAGCTACCCAGTGGAATGTCCGTTGCTAAATTATTATTTATTTAATCTTATTTTTATTTATTTATTTGAGTCAATTTGTCTCCGGGTATGTGCCGCCGGCCTCTCAGAACCCTACACCACAGACCCCATCTCAAGTTAGCCACTTTTGGGCAAATGAAATTTTCGCGCTAATTTAGTCACTTTCAGTTCATCACGGTATCTACCTTACAAAGCCTTCTAAGAGGGTCATCTTAAAATGAATTGACAGATTCAACCGCGAATCTTCCCATTTTAAATCCCCTCTCAAATGGCCTTCCTTCCTATCCCAAAAATGAGCCTTTATAGTAACATTATTGAAAATGTAACCCCAACATAGTCGATCCAGACGTGACAATGTGACCCCATCCAGCGGCACATTCCCATAAGTCTATTATTATGACATACATTTCCTCGGGCTTTTATCAATTATTGACTCCACCAAACCTCTTCACTTCAGTTTCTGATAGCTTAAAGAATCACAGATATTAAAGTTCTATACATTATCACAATCAAACTAATCTGATTGCTGTTTCTTTATCTATATCTTGATCTATATCACAGATATTAAAGTTCTATACATTATCACAATCAAACTAATCTGATTGCTGTTTCTTTATCTTTATCTTGATCTATATCTAACAGGAAATAACGATCTCATCATTCCGGGTGTGTTTAAAAGACTTAGCAGGAATGGAAAGTCAACATGATCCTGTTACTTTGGATTACGCCGTTATTGGAGGTAGATAGATTGGTCAGGTCATGTAGCGTATGCCAAGTTATCAACAAAAGCATTTGCCATTATTTTATTTTAATTAGTAGGTGGAACGAACTTATCACGTAGATAGGACAGAAAGGCAATATCGAACAGTTTATTTTGTATTTCATTCTAGTCTGTGCTTTAGTGGAACTGTAACAAACTTACGATACTACTACTTAGAAAACAATTCTTGCGTGACGTAAGTTATTTAAACCCAACTTAAAGTCCTTGCACCTAAAAAATAAAGATTTCTAAGATCGTCTTAGATGAATTTTGTGATGTTTAAAGATGTTTGGATGTCTTTTCGAGCGAATTATTTTCACAAAGCAGCAACAAAAGGAAAAGGTTGACATCTGATCATCTTTCTTCATCTATTTGCAAAACATGACGCTTTCGACATTGCCGATCCTTGCAGTCTGCAGGATCTTGAGCTTTACTCACCATAGAGTCTCTGTGGCTCAGTATTCGGAGCATCGGAGCGCGGATCCGAAGGTCTGAGGTTCGATTTTCGAGCTCAAAACTCATCACCTTTCTTATTCTGTTTAGGAAGTTGTAATAAGCGTAACACGTACAACTGTAATATAAGATGACCTTGAACTACTCAGCTCTAATTGGATTTGAAGTCACAAGGATTCCATTCGTGTTGTTATATACAATTCGCAGATCTTGATCCTTGCATCAATGTTTCCTGTAATTATTTTGCCATCTGCAAGGCATTTGGACCAAAAGACGCCAGGTGCATATGCGTGGATGATTGTCCATCGTACGACGAGCCTGTGTGTTCATCCAATGGAACAACATACGACAACGAGTGCATCTTTCAGAGAGAAATGTGCGACTTGCAGGCCAATTTTACTCTGTATCACCCGGGTGATTGTACAGGTAACTTGAGTTAGAGTTAGAAGGGTTACAGAGATCTCAAGATATACTTTTTTTCATACCACAATCTATAAAAGGAAATTACGAGAGTATCTTCCTTTAGATACTCTCGTATCTAAAGGAAGATATTAGAAACTTTACTAGATTCCGCGTTTACTAAAGAAAACTTATAAAGAGGGTAAGTTTCTGGAGAAACTGTGGTGCTGCGTCGGTGGGGGTAAAGAAGTAATTTGGTTATATACACTAAGTTGAAATTGTAAATGGGCCACCGGAAAGAGTTAAAAACCTGAATTTTCGAGCGTTAGCCCTTCGACAGAGCGAATGGTTGCGTGTGGGTTTATATGCAGAAAGTGGAGCTACGCTATTGGCGGGAATTAACATGGTGACGAGAAAAACACGGATAAATTAGCGTTCGTTGATATCTATGGGGTTAAGAGTGCCGATTTGAAAGATAAACTTTTGCTCAAAAGTTTTGCGGCTTTCAGTGCTACCTAAATGTAAGGAAAGACCGCAGATTGCCATATACTGCTTAGAATGATTAGTTAGATTAAGATGTCTAGCGACTGGTTTTGATGAACTTCTGACCAAAAAATTGCCTATGTTTTTTTCACGTTTGAATTAAGTGAGTGGAGCTTGCGAAAAGATAGTGCCAGTCTCTGGATTGTTTTGAAGTAATTTAAAAGTTTTTAACAATAATGGTTTTAAATGGTTGTGAGGGTGAAATGTGAGAGTGAATGGAATGCGGTCGCAATTTTCCTTTTGTGACGTTTGTAGTGCTGAATGTCGATCAATAAGTTGAGCGTGGTGGTAACCCGCTTGAACGACAGAAACAGGGTAAACACGTTTTTCGAGAAACTGTCACATTGACTCTGATTTGTGGGAAAAATCAGAGTTATTACTACATAAACGACGAAGTTTACTTCCTTCTTTACTTTGGTCCGAAATCTATTCCAAACAAATGACCAACCCGGCACTTTTAAATGCGCTCGTGTACGATGCAAAACTTGTCCTTTCATTCTCAACGCTGAAAAAATATCAGGAACCAAATGATCCATTAAGATCACTGATCACTTCACGTGCACCTCCACCAACGTCATCTATTGCATAATTTGCATTTATTGCAAAAAGATATATATCAGGGAAACAGGAAGACGACTAGGTGACCGATTCCGAGAACACCTTCGCGAAGTAGAAAGACCGGACAAGGACGCTGCAAAACCAGTCACTAGACACTTTAATCTATCTAATCATTCTAAGCAGCATATGGAAATCTGCGGTCTTTCTTACATTTAGGTAGCTCCCGAAAGCCACAAAACTCTCGAACGAAACTTTATCTTTCAAATCGGCACTCTTAATCCCATAGTTATCAAAGAACGCTTTTCATTCTACTAATTTATTAGCGTTTTTCACGTCACCATGTTCCCACCAATAGCGTAGCTCCACGTTCTGCATATAAACCCACACATAACCCACAATTCCTCCATTCGCTCTGTCGAAGGGCTAACGCTCGAAACGTCAGTTTTTAAACTCTTTACGATGGCCAATATAAAGAAAACTTAATAGTAGAATTAAGTTAAAGTTCCCAGTCTGCTGCAGATTATAAGGTGAAAATGGTGGAAGAAAGAGTGATAATATACTAATGTTCCAAAAGAAAAGCAAACTCAACTCAGTACCATTGGTAAGAAAAGTTGGATCGGCAAATCTTAGAATGTCTAAGCGGAAGAAACATGTAAGACAAGGTTTAAATAGTCTAGCCTCGTCCACACTTGCATATATTGCTTGCATCTTGTACTCGTCCTTGAATTTGAGAAACATGTGGAGCTTTTTTACATTTATTTGTCTGCAGGATTCCCTTCACAGAAAGGTCGTCATCGTCTTAATCACCACCCAAACTGGGCTGAAGCAGTTTGTGAACAGGTCCCACTGGTTCCTTATGTCTTCTATCCTGACAAACCTGTTCACATACAAGTATCTGTTAATCACGTCAACTTCTCAGATCCCTCCTATGTCCACGAGGCTGTTGTGGCCTGGGTCGAGGATATAAGAGAAAACAATTTTACGGTTTGTGTCACTCAGGCTGGGAGGAATGAGAAGAAAAATGGAAAAACATTCGCTTCAGTCGATTGGTTAGCATACCAGGGGGCCCCTGACGGAGGAGTGTCAGGTGAAATGGACATGCCGACATGGTGGACTGGAACGAGCTGCCGTACAGTTTCGCTGCTTCCGGTCAGTTAGCCACAACTTGCAATAATAATTGTTTTTCTTAATTGTTCATCGTCCCCTTTTCTTAAGCATTCATTATCACAATGCAGAAATTCCGAAAGACTGTCCACTAATATAATCAAAGCAATTCTCAACCTTAGAGCTATTGGTACTTTTCTTTTTAATTCTGAGTCAATGCTTCTGCAGAAAAAGTTCGAATCAGTTCCTACTGTCCTTGTATCGGCTCAGCATGAAAGGCGGGGAGTGAAGCATGATGCGTCTTCTGTCTGGGTGGAAGATTTGACGACAACTTCTTTCAAGATCTGTATCAGGGAACTGCAGAATTTTGATGGAACTCACCAAAGTATCCATGTGGTAAGCAGTTTAAAGTTATTCACAAAGTTCAATAATAATCTATTTCATAATTTTCAGAAAGCCTTGATTTAAGCTCTATTCTCTGATAAATTTGTTAAAAATTCCTTTAACCACGATGACCAGTTCATTTCTTTTTTCTTTCATTCTTCAAGTTAATCTGGTTTTGCCTTTGTTTGTTTGTTCATTTTTTTTTAAAGGATTGGATGGCATTTGAAGAGCTTCATCGACCCTTATTTAGAGAACATGGCTCATTATACTTTGCCAACGGGAAAAAACCATCCAAAGAATTTAACTATGCTTTTTGCGAGGTAAGTTTGGTTCACATGACTTGTATTGATAATTTTTTTGACTGCGTACTCTGAAGAAATTCACTCATTTAGTCGCGATGCACACACACACACACACACACACACACACACACACACACACACACACTCACTTACTCACGCATTCATCTCCTACTGCCTTTCCATGGACTTGAGTTCCGAAATTTCATGTGAAACATTCCCGGCGACCCAAGTATTTATTGACTCTACCACTCAGATACTTTCCCATCTGAAGTTCCTGTAAGCTATTTACTTGCTCTGCAATATGGGGGCCGCATGGCAGACATCAAATTCATGGAATGTGTGGGTTTGCTCATTCTAAAATCTTACAGATATTGTTAGGTTTATTCTTTACTACTTTGTGAATCATGGATTTTTATTGTTGCTTTTTTTTGTAATTAGGATGTTGTTTTTAAGAAGCCCTACAACGACTCCCCAGCCATTCTGGTATCTGCCAACCATTCAACAAATGGAGGAAACCTTAATCCAATGTATAACTCCATATCAGTCTGGGCTGAGGTACTTAATATATGATATCTTTGCTTAACGTAACTTTGTGTAACGTTGGCGTAAAAGGATATTGATTGTGGAAGTTGACTTTTATCAACTGCACATTATCAACAATTCACTCTGTTTCTATATGACGTCTACCTTTTTAATGCTTTCTGAATGTCATCTTCTCAGTCGTTAGACCGCATTCCTCTTTGCCATTGTAGTACATCAACAAGACCGGCTTCAGAGCATGCGTGAAGGAGATATTCGTGAACCATCATGATCCTCTCTCAGTTTCATATGCAGTTATGCCGGGTAAGACATATCACGCATGATACATAGCGAGCGCGATGATTGCGTACAATTAAATTTTTGCGAGTCTCCTTGACTTAGACTTGATTAAACATGAATTGTTGCTTTATAGTCGAAAGAAAGGAAGGTGTTAACTGATGTATGAAAATAAAATAATACTGACTTTCTCAAATTTTCACCCTCAGATTTGTTTACGAAACGACTGCTACCGTTAGTGACATTATCCTGACAAACTTACAATTACCCTAAAATTCTATAACTACAAACACGTCTTCCATACAGTTATATTTTCTCATCAAATTTTCCCATCGTTGAAAGATTTAAGTTTAAACGAGACCTCTGTTGTTTCTCTAACTACTTAAGATGTGTGTGAGCTAGGCTGGAATTTCTACAATGGGTCTTGTTACTACACCAGTGACACTTGTAAGACCTGGTCTGACGCTAGTACAATCTGCAGAAGCATGGGTGCTAACTTACCCGCTATTGAAAGTCAAGAGGAGAATGTCTACATTCAACACAGACACAACAGTGAAAAGGCCTGGATCGGTTTAAATGACATTGCTACAGAAGGATTATTCACCTGGGTGGATGGATGTCCAGATAAATTCCGTTATTGGGCAGAGAGTCAACCTAACGACTTTCAGGGGGAGGACTGCGTACACTCTCTTGGTCCTAGACATGGATATATGTGGAATGACATAGACTGCTCGGCTTGTCAGCAATATACATGTAAAAAAGGTTGGAGAATATGTTTATTACCCGAATCTTTTTTGGCGGCACAGTTCACTAGATTTACTAAAAAGAGGTGATGAAATTAATAGACGCTCACCGTATTGTACTATTACAATTTTTTGTTGTTGTTGTTTGTTATATGCAAGAATGATTTTAAGGTGGTTCAAAATCATTGAAACATTTCAAAGGACCAATTCTTCGATTATCAATGCTACCTCACGCCTTTCGTTTGCTTCTTTGAATATAAAAGAAATACCAAATCACTTTCTAACAAATTGTGATCATATTTTGAATTTTTAGGCTACCATAAAAGAACTTAGGCTTCTTAAAATGCCCTTTTATTGCTTTATGTATGTGCTTATAATTCAAAAACGAATTGGGTGTTGACCTTAAAGTCCTAAATGTAATAACTGTCCTAAGTGTAATTAAGTCCTAAATGTAATAGCAGTTGGTGCTAAATGTAATAAGCCTTCAATGCCATCGTTTAACTACGCTAGCGCATTGTTGTTATGGCGGACATCCGCCTTTAGATGTAAAAGTGACAGCTTTTGCACCAAAGAATCCTCTGACCAATATTCATGGCATGTTACGGGCTCGCTGATATTAATAAACGTTATTTCATTTATTAGAGACGTAGGTTGAGAGGCATTGGCTACAAACCCTTATACTGATGTGATTTTGGCATCATACTGGCAGACGTCAAAATAATGAGAACACTGACTAATACCTCTCCATCTGTCATTGGCCCAGACTCTTTATTAGCGGAACAGATTTTGACGATATGCTTATGTGATCAGTGAGAAAGTTGACACTTCATGAACCAAATTACAAAGAAAAGGAGGTCCACTGACCTATACGTTAGACAAGTTCCGGCTCAAAAGTACATTTTTTGTGCTGTCTTCCCATGCCATATTTGTACGGGTCTGCATGAAATGTATTTATATGCATTATTGACTAAGCGTGAGGTCAAGATGGCTGGATATTGGCCGAGTTCTTTTTAATGTTCTTCATATCTCACTTGTGTGACTGTTTTCGGCCTGGTATGAAACGTACTCGAGTAACAGGTATGCGCTAAAAAGACCTGTTGCTTATTTCGAATTACAATGCGGCCTCTTCCGAGTGAATTTTTTTTTTAGAAACAAGTGCCTTTTAATTCGGAGCCCAAAAATTGCGTCATTAAGCTCTTTCAGTGCGCTCACTTTGCTTTAGCTATTTCCTTCTTAACTTGCCTACACAGAAAGGTGCCGGTGAGCGAGAATAATAGAAGGGGATGATCTTGTCCTAGAATAAGTAATGGCTCCATGTTCTCAGCAATTTACTGATTGCTGTTTCTTCTATTTGGCCCCTCGTTTCATGCCCAATTAAAGTCCCTTAGACGTTTTCGTGCATGATTCATGCAATCGTCGTCGAATGACGAGACAGCATATCCGATTGCGGTGCTCTTCATTGAGTTCGGTCGTTGACGGCATACTCCAAATTTTTGTTAAACGTCTCTTTTGTGATTGGAAATCTGAGCAGGTGATTTGTGATGACGTGCTGGTCAGCAACTTTTTTTCACTGACACCTGTTGAATGTAAGTGTATAATTCTAGTGTATAAATTGATGCAGACCCATGCAATCATAGTTAGTAGACTAACTATGATGCAATTCATAATCAAGAGAACATTGAATGTCCCAATTATGTTCTCCTCAAGAGTAAAATTATTTTGTCCATATTTATGTACTCACGAAGATATTCGAGAATTTTAAAATAATAACTCTCTTTATTATCCAACTACACTTCGTAGAGTACAAATAACGCTGTAGACGAGCACAAACATCACGCGGTATTCGTACTCCAGAGAACCGGTTAGACAGGTTTTCTCGCATCGCGCAAGCGAAGAATTGGATTGAACTTACGAAAAAAAAATGGCGGACAATTTGAATCATATTTCTAATGACGAAGAGTCGGAATGGCTGGGAAATGTAGATCCAAGTTTATTAGATGAATCGAACGAAGAAAAACATCTAGACGACCAGGAAATTTCTTCATTTACTGAAGGAAATAGAAACAGCAACACGACAACGCGCAATTTCCGTTCCGCTTCGCATACTTCTGGCACGCACTCCCCGTAAACAAATATCCGCGAAATTCGCCCGCACTGAAATAACAATTTGGCGTGTTGGATAAAAAAATAACTTATTAGACGTTTTGTTGTGTAGTATCGCTGAGTATTTTTACTCGTTATTTGTATTTTGACTCGCCCTTTGGTCTCGTCAAAATACGGCACAACTCGAAAAAATACTCTGCGATACTACATAACAAAACGTCCAATAAGATACATAGAGAACTTCACTGGATCTAAATCGGGAACAAAATGTGCATGCTAACAAGGTCTATTCAGACAAGGAAAGACAAAAAATGTGTATCCGAGCCTGCGAATTATCCAGCCTACAAGTCAGCGGATTCCCTTGTCCAAGTTTGTTCTTTGGTTTAGTACTTGTGAACTCCATCACTATTCACACAAGTAAAACGTTGTCACAATTTTTCCATATTTTTTGTACTTATTAAGAGTCTGAGCCAGTGATATATTTAGATGTATTGGTCACCATACTGATTATTTTCCAGCTGTCAATTGATGCCAAAATTGTATCAGTACAAGGGTATGTAGCCAATGCTTCCCGGCTTACGCCTCTAGTAAATAAAAGACGCTTATCAATATAACCAAGCCCCAATATGCAATGAATATTGGTCAGAGGATTCTTTGGTGCAACAGCCGTCACTTTAACATCTCAATACGGATGTCCGCCATAACAACAATGCGCTAGCGCAGTTAAATGATGGCATTGGAGGCTTATTACATTTAGGACCACCTGTTATTGCATTTAGGATTTTATTACATTTATGACAGTTATTACATTTAGGACTTCAACAGACCGCTCTGAATAACACTCTATGAAACTATTTTTACTTGTGTACAAAAGTATTAAAACCTAGTATTATATTTTCAGATTATGATGAATGCAGTAGTTCTCCATGTTTGAATGGTGGAACTTGTGTGAACAAGAAAAGAAATTTTACCTGCATCTGCCCCCAAGCATACAAAGGAAGAACATGTGATGGTAATTGCAGAAATCAATTCATTAATGGATAATTACTGAAGCATATGGCATTATGAGAAATATTGCAGCCAGCTGAGGTCGTAGGCCGAAGCTGGCTGCAATATTTCTCATGATACCATGTGCCGAAGTAATTATCTATTATAATTATTGATCCCCATGAAATCCTATCGTTCTGTGTCTGTGTTGGATCTTCGATTTTAGTCGCACCTATGTGTGATAATTGTGATGCTCATTGCTATTGTTCTTTGTTGTGATGAATATATCTTAGATTTTAATTGTGCCGAGGGTTGTTATTGTAGCTCGTTGTTATAGTTGTTCAAAACAGTTCTAATGATGGAATTAATTCGTGCAAGGCGTGTAACACTGCTAATTTGCATACTTTATAAGCCAGAGAATTCAGTCATTTTACTCAGTGCGAACCTGGGTTTAGAAAGAGGATGGATTCGTCGGAAGACGAAGGATTATTTATTACACAGAGCTCTACGAAGGCAGATATTTCAGCAGAAATCGAAGATAATGTAGTGTAACGTTTGGACATTTCTGTCAGTGCTTTAATTCTTTATCGACTTCTAAAGGCGGCGTTTCCATTTTCTTTTTTTAAATCGAGAAATTTGACAAAAGTTGGGTTTCAGACGTGTGGGTTTTGAAAGCCTATGAGGAGTGGAAGAAGCAATATTTTTAATAATTGTAACCTGCACACTGCAATATTTTTAATATTGCAGCCTGGACACTGCAATATTTTTAATATTGCAGCATGCTTATTTAGCGCGTTTAATTATATTACCCCTGATAATTTCCCTGCTAACAAAAAGGATCGCCTCCGTTTTCCTCATACAGTTGTTTTGTCATCTTAAAGACTACAATCGTTGATTTAATGCAGAGAGAGAACAATAGAATTTCATGGGGATCAGTAATTATTTAAGAATAAAAGGCAAAACTCTGGACTTTCATTTAGTCTACGTTACTTTGAACAGAAAATAACAAACAGAAGGGATATTTGAAGGAAAAATGGAATAAGAAAGAGCTTGGAATACCAAGACATAAATATATACAAATGGAATGAACATATCTGGGCTTCGACATGGACTTGAAATCTTAAAAAATTTCGCCTTATCGGGAAGGATAGTATTGGGAATTGTTTCTTATGGAGCTCTCGACCACGAAAATAAGTGATTAAATGGCTTCATATTGATTTGTTTGTTCCCATTTCTTAATCAAATCGTTAGCGGATTATTTTCTTGTGTTACAGAGTTCGACGAATGTTCCAGTAGTCCTTGTCTAAATAGTGGAACTTGTACTGATGGGATTAACAACTATACTTGTTCCTGCCCTTCTCCTTATTTTGGACGGCAGTGTCAAGGTATGCGTTCAATTAGCTAGCTTGTACTTGAGCATTCATCTTTAAATGCTACGCAAAGTGCAAGAGAAAAAAGGGTTAAAAATGGTGAAGGAAAGGATATCTCAGCCTAAAGTTTGATTATTTTCGTTATCCCGCAAATTTTTCCCTTATCAATCAGCAACCGAAATAGGGGATCTATAACCTCACAATACAAATTTCCTTCTATATTCTCTATAAATGAATTTTTCCTTCAAACACTACAGTGTCCTTTCTATTTCCTACTCATCGTTAGCACTACAAGCAAGTAAACAAGAGGAAAAAATAGAAAAAAAGTAACTCAGTAATTTCACCTCTGTAACATTCAGTAGGGATTGACTAGACTTGATAGAATGTTTGTACATCAAGAAGTCGATCAAAACTGTTCAAGTTCTTAAGTCAATACTGATAAAGGTAACCAAGATAAATTATGGTAAATTTCTAAAGAGTAACAATTTATTGTTTTCCAAATCAGTTTCCATCCATTGTACAATTACTGCATAATAAGAATTTCCAAGAAAACATAATGCAAGGTATACGAACTCATCTGACGTATTCTTTAAAAACAAGAAAATACAAAGCCTTACCACCTCTCTCTTACAGAAACAGATGAATGTAAGTCTAGTCCTTGTTTTAACGGTGGAACCTGCGTGGATGGAGTCTACAACTTTACTTGTGTTTGTCCTCGCTCGTATGCCGGATGGCGTTGTGAAGGTAAAGTGATATCGTCGAAATGGCAGTGTACAAAAGGGTCTTTCTTCGGGGACCCTTTGAATGCCAGCGTATTATGTGAGAGTTTTATACAGCGTTTTGGGCCTCCCCAAGTCAACGAAAGAGCAAGCTTCGTTCGAATGATATTTGTGACCGCGAATTCAAATGATCTGACGAAATTCTCGTACAATTTGAAGAACTGAAAATTCAGTGATTTCATTGCAAAAGGATCGGTAAATAGCAAAAATGTCTCACCAACTAAAGATATCAGTGGTCAAAAGATTAGACCCTGGGATGCAATTAAATACTGATAAATCAGCCCTTCTGTTGTCATTTCTTATTAAAGCTGTTGCCGGAACATCGTGCAAAACCCTACTGGCAGATGGATTTACCTCAACTGGATCATACACTTTGAGAATCAGTGGCTACTCTTTTCAGGTAGAATGATAAAATACCCAATCGAAACTCTCTATAGCACAGACACCCAGGGGGAAAAAGAGTTTGTATGAATGGTGACCTAAGGACACCATTGCTAAATACACACTAACAGGTGCTTGCCTGCATCAAGATTTACATTATACAGTTTCGAGATACTGTCTAACATGGCACCCAAAAATGTCAATAAAACATTTCTGAAAAACACATATTCATTATTTACAATTGCGATGAACAATAGCTAGGATCAACCATTGCTAAAAGGAAAATATTTATCTCCTCCAAAACTCGAATGTACCGGCAAGTTTCACTTTCTTGATCTTTGTTAACTTCAGATTACAGGGGTGACTAGGACGGATTCATGAATTACTGTTTCAGTACTTTTTAAAGTTGCCCCTGGCCGTAACTGAGTAGATCCTAAATAACAAATTAATAATGTTAATGCGTAAGGGGAGACACCTCTTTACCAAAATCCTGAAGTTATATCCACCCGCTTTTATGCAGGTCTATTGCGACATGACAGGAAGCTCAGGTGGATGGACACTCATTGCTCGGTTTTCAAACTCGGATGCGAAGAACTGGATGAGAGATGACGCGTACTGGTGGTACGACATCCCGTCCTCACAGGGGTCCTACACGAGCACGTCCCCTAACTCTGACATGATATCAGAAGCATTCTGGAAAGTGAAAGGAACTGAGATTAGAATCACTCGCAGTGACGATAGTTCACACTCTGCTCTTCTTCGTACATACAATAACTGCTTTGGTGGGAAAACATTTAGAGGATACATGTCCTCTTATGGAAAGTTTAGTTACCGTAATGTTTGGTCCAATGATCGGTGTCTCGGTAGCTGCCCAGTTTATTATGGTGGATGGTACCGGTCCACTGTTGGCTTTAGTCAGGCACATTGCAGTAGCAATATTCAAGGAAGCCATCACATTGGATTCTGGTGTCAGTGGGATCGTGGTGATGGTTCAGTTCTTATGATTGGAGGAGGAGGAAGTGGGTGCAGTCGAGCGGATCATGGTATCGGGATCACTGAGAATACCTACGGAACATTTGATGACTGGCATGATCGAGGGGAGTTTGATTTTGGAGATGAAGCTGGCAACTCGCCTACTACATCTTATGCCTTAAATTTATGGATTCGTTAGAAGAAAAATAATACATTGCTGATCTTAATCCATTTATATTAAAGTCACGTAAACAAAAATTTTTTTCCGAGGTCCTTTAGGGAGTCGTTCAGAGAAAAGGGTGGAGGCGCGGTGGCCTCATGGTTAGTGCGCTCGACTCCCGATCGAGTGGTCTGGGTTCGAGCCCCGGTCGGGAAATTGTGTTGTGTTCTTAGGCAAGACACTTTACTCTCACAGTGCCTCTCTTCACCCAGGTGTCAATAAATGGGTACCGGCAATTTAATGCTGGGGGTAACTCTGCGATGGACTAGCATCTCATCAAGGGGGGAGTAGAAATACTCCTAGTCGCTTCATGACAGAAACCGGAGTTAAGCCACTAGGCTCGTAAACAGACTTTACTTTTACTCAGAGAAAAGGAAACCTTAACCTTACACTTTGAAGGCTCTCTCCTATTTTATTATTTAACAATCATTCCATAAGCGCGCGTTGAACATGAGATGGTAAAGAGCCAACGTGGCGCGTAGCACCGAGTTAGCTATAACCAATCTCGTATCCAACAAACGCGGACGGAATAATTGTTTCTGAATTTTCCACCTAGGAAATTGGCTAACAGTTGCCTGTGCCTTAGAGTTACGGCGGTGCCTAACGCTGCTTTTGCATTTGGACCCAACGGATGGTACGTGTGTGGGAGGGGTGAGGGAAAACATGCTTTGATGTCATCTTCCACGTGATATTGTCGTTGCGCACCAAGTCGTTGGTTCCAGATTTTATTTACTAAAGTAGATCTACTCTACTCTTATTGATCCTAAAACCATCACCAGAAATCGGGGACATTTCGTTACAGAGAAAGGCCTGGTACCTTAGTATCCCAGAAAGCCAAAAGAGACGTCAAAACAAGGAAAATGGCGGCCAAATTGTGCAGTGACAGGGACTTGTATCTTTCGTGTTCTTCCTTCCTAAAATTGGGTATTTAAAAATGGCGTATTGGGATTTTAAGCTCTGTGAAAATACAAAGAGTCTCCCGGCTCAAGGAAAAATTGTAGGCCAACATAATCGCCCGTTTACGAGCGATTTAGTTGAGCAAACTTCCGCAGAATGCATATCGAACTACGCAGTTGCGAATCTTCACAAGGTTGTTCCCACGACAAAAAAATTGTAACACCTAGTCGAAGCAGATTTTAAGAGTTTGTATGGGAAAATGGAGTCAGAATTATGAGTTTACTCGTATACCTTGAGAAAAGGTAGACTCGAATTTGAGTATTTCTTTTTTGTAGCGATGGACGCTTTAATCGATGCAGGCTGCATTTGCTTGTAACACGAGAACCGCCTGCGCCATATTGTCCCAAATTTCTGGCAATGTACATTGCGACAATTTTTTCGAATATTCAGAATCTGATGTGGGGTAATAGAGGAGCATGGCTTGATTTTGTTCTTGACTATGATTCAGTCTTTCCGGATGTAGGTGCCCTACTGTAACGAGGCACTTGCGATAAGTGCCAGTTCGGCTATGACTTTTGAACGAGAGAATTGTAAAACTTTGATTTTCTTTTGTTTCTGAACTGACTTCCGATTAGCTCAATGGATAGAGCGCTGGACTGTTGTGCGGGAGGTCGAGGGTTCAAGTCCCGGCCGGAGCAACACTTCAAGGTCTTAAAATAATTGAGAAGAATATGTTACCTTTCTATAACCTCAGGTAATGGTTAGATATTCTAGTCTTCTCGGATAGGGACGAATAAAATGGAGGTCCCGTCTCCTACAGGGTCAGGGGTAGGAGACGTTAATTTCCCACGCACGAGATTACTGTGTGATGGATGTCCTCCCCTGGGGTGGGATGGGTAGGAATTATTGGGTGGACTACTCGCATGGTTCGCATATGTTCCGTTCTAGTCCTGCCCTACTGTGGTAATGTTGTGAAAATGGTTAGAAAAAAAAAGTGACACAGTGAAAAAAATAAATACTCGTTTTTATTAGTGCTCCGTAGATCTGATGATGATACAAACGGAATCGAATTATCTTAAAATAGGAATTAACAAGTAAAGCTGATCATAAATTAAGTTGCTGCGCAGCGAGCGTAGCGAGCTAGTAGCAACATAATTAGAATTTAAAAGAATAACAGGGCGCGAGTCCTCGAATTCATCACTTTTTCCAGAATACATTGCATTTAACCAGAGTGCCTTGCAAGTCTGAACATTACATCAGACCGATTCTCGAGAAGATCCAATTCTTCGTGTGTCGCATTTTGAAGCCTTCTAAAGATCTGGATGTCCACTTTGATCTTTCCTCACCAGCTCTGATCAAACGCTCTCCAGCAGACGCGTTTTATGCATTTTAAATGATACTGTTTGAGACCGGTTATGGCAGCGAAAAGTCCTTTTTGTGTTTAGTGTATTACGTTACTTAGCGTCATGATCGCAATACACGCAGAAGGACATTTCCTTTATGTGCTCAATCGTGTTATAAATCTACTTTCCTAGGTAAAGAAAAATTGACTAATCGAGAGTATTGTATGGTAAATTTACTATATTGATCAATGAATGAAAGACAGTTGAACTAGTGCAATGAAAGGAGTGACTTCATCAATAAGTAACTCTACCTTGCGTGACGCGACACGCTAGTAAGCCGGTACGCAAAAGGCAGTCGACCGCTAATAGGTGTTTATAGGCCTGTGCTCTCAGTGACTTTTCTTTCCGATCTGATGATAAGAGTTGTTTTTAAAATGTCACTTCCTCGTCTGCATGTTCTTGAGATTTGGCAAAGAAGGATGAGACTGTGGTACAAAAAGGCAACATTTTTCTTCTACGCATGCGCCATCCGCTTTTTTAAGTATACTTTCTCTCCCGCAGAAAATGACTTCAGAGATACGTTTCTCAAAACCTCCATCTATTAATTACGACACCACAGCTCGGACAGATTGTCATTAGAGGTGAGAAGGGTGCTCTTTAATCTTTTTGGAAACACCCCACGATTTTGACACAACTTTAGGAAATAAAGATAGAAACAGATAGATGAATCACTGCGTAAACTGTCACTATCAATAGATTGTGCCGCAGCATTACTATCTTTTGGATACCCTAGTATACACATATAAAGATAATTGCGGCACAGCCACTTCTGACTTTGAAATAGCGAATGTTAGTCTCGCTCCCTGGCTGAGCCATGCAGCATAAAGATGTTTTAAAACAGTAGAGAAAAAAAGGACATTTACCGACTACAAGCACACACACAAACAACAATTTCAAGTAAATCAGTATACAAATCAAAAACTGGAAATGATATATTCTAAGGAGAGTCTTGAAACAAGTAAGAATTTATGATTCTAAGATATTCTTTGATAGAATTTCAGATTGAAATGAATATTAATTTTTTTAGTCGATATCAGCTTCAGGCAAGTCACACGAGTTCCTAAAACCAACTTAAGTTTCACATTGATGTAAAAATCAACACTTATATGAAAAATCTATTTAGGTAAAATAGAGTCTAGAATAAAAGCCTTACATACTATGCAAATATAACTCAAGTGTACCTTGGGTTGGTGAAAAAAGGAATGGAGTGGGAGCTCTAGTCAAAGAACATCACCACCCTTAGTAGTGTTGTTGTTTTTGATCCAGTTTGTTTAGTTATTTAATTGTATTTTTGCTCGAGGCGAGGAGCTCAACAATTTGAAAGACAAAGCAAAACAAGCGAGTTCCGTCTTCAAGTGGCTAAAGAGAAACTGGCAAGAACTATTTTTGATAGTCGTTATAATAATAATGATAATAATAATAATAATGGAAATTTTATTTGTGTTTTTAAATGTACAATTGTAAATCTCACTACATATAGGCAATTTACAAATGCTGCTTGAGATTGGCTTATTCAACATACACACAAAAATCAAAATTGCATCAAATCTGGGTTGTCCCAATTCCTATTTCTACAACAAAAGACGTAATATGTTGCTCTAATAGCTATATTTATCATTTTCTTGATTATGTAAAGTTGCTGCTTTTTGGCAATGCCTATGTCATTCATCATGCCTAAGAACGTAGAGCATTCATCTGAGAAAACGCCAAGGGAGCTCATGGAGAGATTTACAAATTTCACACATCTGAAAGTTCTACTCATTTCGTTAATCAAGTTCCGATATTTTTCTTTTTTACGTACTGCATTGTTGTACAAGTTAGATTCGAAACCAACTGTTAATTCTAGAACATATAGGCACTTGGACTGGGTTAGGAAAAGAAGATCTGGGCGATAATTTTCACCAGTTATTATTGAGGGATTTAGAAAACCAGTAACATCTGCATAGATTGAGGAGCTAACATTAATTACAGGTTGAAGGGACTTGGCAATGAAGTTAAGGATTGAGTCGTGTCTCCAGGTAAAGCGATCAAGGCATTGTTGACAACCAGCGACAACATGAAGGAGTGACTCAGGATTAAGGCAAAAGGAACAATCAGGACTTTGTGATAATCCCCATCTTACCAAATTCTTACGTGTAGGAAGAGAGTTGTTGATGTAGCGGATGGTAAAGTTGTAAATGTTCTTCGGTAGATG